CTTTCAAAATGAAGCTGCTCTTCAGAATCGCAGCAAATTTCGCTTGATCCAGGATGTAACTTGTCTGAATGCTGGCTTGTTCAAACCAGCTTGAGGACGAAGAAAAGATAGTCCTCGACTTACAACGGCGAGCAGAATTTCAGTGGCCAAGCAAGTTGCTGTTAAATGAGTTTTGTGCCCTTTTTTTTATCATGGTGGTTAAGCGGATCGCAGTCGTTAAGTGAACCGTGTGTCGCGAAGCGAATCTGGCATCCTTTGACTTTGCTTTGGGGGAGGGGGTGGAAGAAGCCGGCCGGGAAGGTCGCAAATGGAGGTCACGTGACTTTGGCACGCTTGAACCGTCGTAAATATAAGCCTGTTGCCAGGCGTCCTAATTTGGATCGTGTGATTGGAAATTGCTGCAACGGTCGTTAAGTGTGAGGACTGTAAGCGGAGCCCCGTCTTTCAGTGCCGTTGTAACTTCGAATGGCTGCTAAAGGAATGGTTATAAGTAGAGGACCGCCTGTGGGTCTCGTGTGGGCAACCTGTTTGCTTCTGGTTGTGTATTTGTGTCGTCATAAAGTTTGAAGGTGCTGTGTTTTTCTCTCTTAAACTAGTATATTTTCTTTTTTTTTTTGGACAATAGATTTTTATTGTTTTCCACCAGTACAAATCTTAATTAAATTTTCAACAGCTTTTGCATCAACATATACTGTTATCTTAAATTTCTATCATCTATTCATACATGTCATTTACACATATTACCTTTATTTACAATTACTATCATTATTCACCTTTAACCTTTTTGTCTATCCATTTACATTTCATGTATCGCTCTCTTACATTTGTCCGTTTCTAATCCTTATTTCTCTTTTCTAGCCACATGTACCATCTATGCCCAACTGAGTAGTATTCAGATTCTTCTTTTTCTCTTATTTTTGGAGTGAGCATATCCATTTCAGCACAGTCTGGTATTTTTTGTAAAATTAATTCTTCTGTTGGGACCATATGCTCTTTCCACACTTGCGCATAGGCGCTGTCAATATATGTAACATTAAGTACTTTATCTTTTTCGGATATTGTTTTTGAGGGCAGGGGGTTTGGACTAGATGGCTTACAAGGTCCCTTCCAACTCTGTTAATCTGACTTTAATCTGATTTTAATGAACAAAAGGACCAGGGGAGACAGGACAGCAGTCTTCCAATATTTGAGGGCAGGGGGGTTGGACTAGATGACCTACAAGGTCCCTTCCAACTCTGTTATTCTATTTTCAATGAAACAGAAGTTGTGAGGGAGCTTCATCACTGGAAGCTTTCAAGAAGAGACCGGACTGCCATCGATCAGAAATTATGTAGGGTCTCCTGCTTGGGGTAGGGGGTTGGACTGGATGACCTCCAAGCTCCCAACTGTTACTCTAATATTCAGTGGAACAGAAGTTGCCTTCAGAAATTGTGGGAGAGAATCCCAATGGATGAAAATGTGGTAAAAAAAATATTAGAATGTGCAGAATTCAATTTGATGTCCAGTGATTTCTGGTATCCAATCTCTGATTCTAGTCCAATGGATGGATAGAGAAATGGATGGACGGATGAAGAAGTGGATGGACAAATGGATGGAGAAATGGATAGATGGATGGACAGACAGACAGGACGGATGGATGTATGGATAGATGGTCAGATGAAGAAATGGATGGACGGACAGATGGATAAATGGACAGGTGGATGGATGGATAGAGGGACGGATGGATAAATGCATGGATGGATGGACAGACAGATGGAGAGAAAGGGATTGGCGGATGGATGGATAAATGGATAGATGGATGGACAGACAGACGGGACGGATGGATGTATGGATAGATGGTCGGATGAAGAAATGGATGGACGGACAGATGGATAAATGGACAGGTGGATGGATGGATGGATAGAGGGACGGATGGATAAATGCATGGATGGATGGACAGACAGATGGAGAGAAAGGGATTGGCGGATGGATAAATGGATAGATGCATGGATGGATGGACGGATGGAGGGAGGGAGAGAAAGGGATTGGCAGATGGACAGATAAATGGATGGATGGGTGGATAGAGGGACAGACAGATGGATAAATGCATGGATGGCTGGATGGACAGATGGATAAATGGATGGATTTCTGTAGCAGCTAATCCTCAATTTACGACCCCAGTTGAACTCTGCATTTTCTCTAGTTAAGCAAGGCAGCTTTTAACGAGTTGCACCCCATTTTACAACCATTGTTTTTGCCACCGTTGTTAAACAAATCAGCTGTTGTTAAGTGAATCATGCAGTGGTTAAGGGAATCCAGCTTCCCCATTGACTTCGCTTGTCAGCAGCCTGTTGGGAAGGTCACAAATGGCAACCCTATGCTGCAAATGGTCGTAAATGTGAGTCGGTTTGATCACGTGTCCCTGGGGATATTGACATTGTCATAAGTATGAAAACCAGTCCTAAGTCAACTTTTTCCAGTGGCATTGTATTTTCAAACGGCCACTAAATGATTGGTTGTAAGCCAAGGACTACTTGTGTAAGACATAGGCATATATTTTATTTTGTTTTTGTTTTTATTTGTTTTTATTTGTTTTTATTTTTTATTGTTTTATTTAGTTTAGTTTTATATCCTGGGCATTTTAATGTACTTTATGGATGTTTTATAAACCACCAAGAACTGCTTGGAAATGCAGTGGGTGAATAAATAAATAGATGAATAATTTAAAAAGAGAATTTTTTTTTTGCAACGCTAGATCCTTTCAGCCAGTGAAATAAAGAGTTAGGGCCTTAAGAAGCCTGGATTGCTGTCTGCTCCCAAATGATTTAGCATCCCTTGCAATGAGTAGCGGGTTAGACTAGATGACCTCTGGGCCTCCCGCCCAATTCCAGGATTCTGGTGAGGAGTTGCAAGACTGGACTTGCTGCCTGATGGCTCACTGCTGATGCTCACATGCTTTGTGAGGTCCTTCGTGGACGATGCTGGTGCATCATCCACATCCTATCACATGGGCGATGACAGCACACCTGTGGCTTGTGCAATGCGTGTGTGAAGGAGGAAGCCCTTCAAAACGCCAGTTTCTCTCTCCGTGTGTGTGTGTGTGTGAACATGCTTATTAGCATTTAATCCTGGCATTTCAGCGGCTGAGAGGTGGGATCCTTCCGTTTCTGAGCTCCCCTTCCTTCCAGGTAGGAATTTCACACCTGTAATAGCCATACCTGGCCTAGTTGTGAAGGGTCACCAAGGTGATTAGGAGACTGGAGGCTAAAACCTATGATGAACCCTTGCAGGAACTGGGCCAGGCTAATCTAGGGAAGAGAAGGACCAGGGGAGACAGGAGAGCAGCCTTCCAATATTTGAGGGTGGGGGGGGGGGTTG